AAAAGCAGAGAGAGCAGAACGTTAGAGATTGAACTAACAGATTCTGCAGAGTGGGAGAATAGAGAGAGAATGAAGCAGAATGATGAAAAAGGGGTCTACTAAACAATCTCCAATGACAGGCCATTCTGAATTGATAAGCAACAATTGTCCTTTCGCTCAACTTTCTAGTAAAATACCTTCATACAGAAGATGGCATCCAGGTTTTGTTCCAGTTTTCAGTTTTCTATCAGGGAGGCCCAGCAGCCTTCCTTATGAGGACGCTGTATTAGAAATCCTTTGTTGTGATGCATCTTTTATTTTTTACCATGAGCCAATATTTTCAGATGCATCCATCGTGATTAATAGGGCCGGCTCTGCTTGGAAGCTTGGCTCATCACAGTAGCACAATCATACAACAAAGGGAAACTTTTGTTACCAACACAACCCCGTCTTTCAGCTTGCTTCCAACTGTAGCCCTGCTGGCTGCTTAAAGGCACCATTCATCCACACAGATAATACACTCAACTCCCAAACACAAAGGAAACCAAGCCAGAAACTAAATGCTAACCCATGCTAATGGGGAGATTAGCACCAGTTAACAGACCCTAAAAATATACCAAAGAGTCCCTAAAAAAACAAAAAACTGTGCAACTTCACTAAATAATGTTCAACATGCTAGCTTTCACTGAATTTGCTTTCATTCATTTAAATTCAGTTTATTTATATAGCTCAATTCACAACACATGTCATCTCAAGGCTGTTTACAGTTCAATTCAAAAATTATTTATTCTGTGTCAGACCTTTAAAGGTATAGTGGAGGATGTTCTTTTTCCGGGTGGATCATCTAAATCAGAGATCCTCCTAACTGTGAATCATTGTGGTGATATGTTTATGTTTATGTCCTACGTGCTCGTCCCCATTTTCTCTTACCAGTGGTGAGTCTGACATGGTGGAAAAATTGCTAATCTTCTTTTGGAAATTAAGCTTGTATGAGCGATGCAAACAGTAACTTTTAAACAAAGCGTGCACGAGGAGAAATGTACTTCTGCACACTCTCACACGCATTTAATAGGCATTCCCTCTTAGAGGTGGGCACAGGGTCGTGCATCTGTGTCGTTTTGTTTTCAAAGTGGGGAGAGCGGGTCTTTTCAAAGATTCATGCAAATCCTCCGTGTACCCTTAAGGTTCCATTAAACACTTTCAGTTCCAGGCTTGGGTTTCTGCAGGAAGAAACCATTTTCTTTCAGACAATGGAAGAAACTGGAAGAAAGTTCTGGTAATAAATCATATTTTGGAGAACTGGGATAGTTGTGTGGAAAACGTCATGCATCGTTTCTGTACTGAAGTCGCCCCGTCCCTCCAAGGACTACAGACCCACGGCATTGACGTCACAGATCATTAAGTCCTGGAGAGAATCATCCTGGAGACTCATCCATAGTCAGACCACTTCTGAACCCCCTGCAGTTCACCTACAAGTCCTGACTAGGAGGTGAGGACGGCATCATCTTCCTGCTCAACTGTGTCTATGCTTACCTGGACAATCCAGAGAGGACTGTCAGTCATGGTTTTTTATTTCTCCAGTGCATTTAACACCATCAGGCCGGTGTTCTGTCAGATGAGCATAACTGGTCAGACCTGCATACCCATAGTTTGAAAAATAGACTTAAACTACCTCAACAGGCGTGTATCCCTGTAGTCAAACAATTTAATTACTTACTTTTTGGTGTTATTTTTTAAGTGTATGCGATCTGACCTTGAAAAGATGTTTTGTACATGAGTTTGAGGTTGTTTAAAGTCTTTTTCATATAAAACTAAAGGTATATGCCCTCTAAAGGAAGGGCCAGAGCAGTCTCTACTTTCTGAGGCGGCAGAGGTCCTTCTACATCTGCCGGTGTGCATAACAGATCTACTCAGGGCCCCGCCCCTTCTTATGACATCATGATATGGCAGCTCCACTCGGACAAACTGTATCGCACCCGTTTCTTCAGGATCAGATCTCTTTTGGAGGCTCTACATATTATTTACCTATATTTGCTCATTTTTTACAATTCATCAGCGATCTAAAGTAGCTGCAAGTAGAAATCTTTCATTGTCAGTCTTAAAGAACCGTAATCCCGTCCAAGACTGACTAAGCTCTGCCAATTAACAAGGTGATGAAAAAAGTCTCAGCTTATTTTTATTCTTTTTAGTGAGATCTGAGGGCAGGAAGGACAAATGGAACATCTGAAAAATGACTTTCTCAGAGATTTTAGACAAAAAACAGTTATTCTATTTGTAGAACAGAAGTAATGTAGCCTAATATGGCTAACCAACCAAGCTAAAAGAGGCTAACCATTTAGCTACTGAGCACAGCTAACCACAGCACTACCCAGTTCTTCATTTATTTCCTTACTTCATTACACGCAACCAACCTGCTCATGTTTAATAATTGTAATTTGGTATTGAGTAGCATTACAAATTGTAAAAACTGTCGATGTATATACTGTGATCCTTATTTTATTCTTCTATCTTATTTCTACATATCTTATTTTTCTGTCTTCTGTAAAAAACTGCACTACAAAAATAGAATTTCCTGCAACGGATTAAGAAAGTAATTAGCATTCTAATAAAGTCAGGTGGGCAGCTCAGCAGCGCAGTGGGTAGCAAGAAGGTTCCAGGTTTATGTTAGCATGTTCTCCCTGAGCATTTTTTCCGGGTACTCCTGCTTCCTCCCACAGTCCAAAAACATGACTGTTAGGTGTGAGTGTGCATGAATGGTTGTTTGTCTCTGTGTTGCCCTGCGATGGACTGGAGACCTGTCTCGCGTGGACCCTGCCTCTAACGTGTAGACCGCTGAAGCTCGGAAGCAGCACCCCTCGCCACCCTAGCTGGGATAAGCGTGACAGAAAATGGATGGATAAAGTCTAAGTAACGATCATTCCAATTCACCAATACAACGAAAAACGCAATACCAAAAAAGGAAACCAATGTCCATTTGTTTTATTTCAAGGTTTAATCATATTTATTCTAAGAACATCAATCTGTTCTACATAAAGAAATACCCATTTCATGTATGGAACATAGCAGAACATCCAAATCTGTTATTTCTTCCAGGACTCTTGGTCAATCAGCACAATCTGAGGCGGGTTTGGTGAGGGTTCATCCAGGAGGCAGCAT